GAGCACATGGGTTATACATTTATTTTTTATATATATATCACATACCATAAAAGAAGAGGCAGCAGCAGAAACAGAAGGGTGTCGACAGCCCCCTGCGCGCTGATGACAATGATAATTTGTAAGCTAAACTTAATTTTGTATTACGTTTTACGTGCTGGCTTCTCATTCAACTTGAACTATAAAACGTGGACAAGGAAATCCATGAAATCCATGATCAGGTTTAACTTGGAAATCGGTCGGCTGTCTAGCAAAATTGTTACGAGAATATTAGAGGTCATTTTATGTCCTCTTAAGAACATTTAATTTTTACATTAATTACAAACTTATCTAAACTTTAAATCCCCTCTAAAAAAAAAAAGCCTCTAATTCTAAGCTACTTCCTTTCCTAGGCGCTTAGGTCTCCCTATAACCTCCCTCTATACATGCTCCCCTTTTTCTTCTTAACTCTTTTTACTTTTTTTTTCTCACTCTGCTCACTTCGATCGCCGTTGCATATTTTCAATTTTTTTGCATTTTTCAACATAAATTAGCCGTCTCCCAGTGACCCCCAACACGAGTTCTTCTCCTCTTTAGCCAACTTGCGCTGGCGTCGTTTCGCTCTTCTTGGCCAGAAATAGACATCGGTTAGGCCAAGAACAGCAAAATTCCTGGCGTCAGAAAGGAACGTGGACAAAACAGGCATTGGGAAAAAAAAGTGAAGCGTTAATAAAACGGCACAAAAGGAACACACAGCGAAACGCAAACAACGGGTTAAAAAGGAAGGAGGGGCGCGTATGACGGCGGGAGTCGGGAGGCGTGGCAGGGACCAAGTGGAGTCTGCAAAAGATGTAACCAAAGTCCAGGCCCAAGATCATCATCATCGTCGTCGTCGTCGTCCTCATCGTCGTCGTCACAACATCACCATTATGATGCAAAAGAATCCAAAGAAGCTTCAGAGCAAAGAGTGATGAGAGAAGATGTAGAAGATTTTCAGAGAAAAAAAAAAAAGCAGAGTAGAAGAACTCGGATTCGCCTTCGGTTTCTGCATTCGGCAAGATCGGAAAGAAAAACATTTTTAGGGGCATATAGAGGCGTTATTACCCTTTAACAGGTGCTTAACCTCTAAAGAATAAAATTGAAGAAAATGATCCATTTTTACGAGTATCTTGATGGAATTATACCATAAACTTTTAGAGTTATAAGAAACGAGTTTAAACTCGAAAAAGTTTTGGTCTTTAGGATAATTTTGCACCTCAAAATTCATCTTTAGAAACCGATTTTGGTGTAACTTTTGAAGAATTTCAACTAATTCTTCCCCAAAAAGGACCAGAAACCCATAAGAATCTACTGAAGATTCCATCATGGGATCATGGATGTGATTATGGGAATCATAAGATCATGACATACCCATCCATGGGTATCAAAAAGTCGAGAAATATTTTAAGAAAACAGAAACCGACAGGCCTGTCGCTTCATGTATCCATGTGTGTGGGGTTTTGGGCGTTGGGATTGGGTACTGCAAGAAGTTCTTCTTCTACTTCTTCATGTTCTTCCTCCAGCGGCGGCTTCTTCCTCTTTTTTTCATATGGTGCTTCCTCCGCTTTGGTCGCGTCTTCAATTGCTGTTGTTGTTGTTCATTTTTGTTGCTGTTGCTGTTGCTGTCGTTGTCAGGCGTGTGCGGTGCGCGTTGAATCCGCTATAACAGTGTTAGTACGTTAGTAGGTATACAAACAGGTAAAACAGGTATTCCCAGCCGCTCTGCCACGCTCATCATGATCATCATCATCATCATCATGATAATGTTAATCATCATGATGTTCTTCTGCTGCTGCTGCTGCTGCTGCTCTTGCTCTTGCTCTTTTACCACCACAATGGGCTGGCTGGCTGACTTGGGCTATCTGCTTCTTACTTCACTTGAAGCATTATTTTAGCGAGTCGCCGTCGATGACGACAATTGAGCAAATAAAGATAAAAACAAAATAAAGTACAAGAAAAACATTATAAGAACACACTAAGCAAAAGGAAAGAGGGGCTTAGAAGTTTATTTTAACTTTGATTTGACCAAAAATTAAGCTTAGCCATAACCAAATTTGTTTACAGAAAATTTACAAAAGTAAGTTTGCAGTTTGAAGATCATAAAATATATAAGATTGATACTTTATAATCCCTACTTAGGCGGATATTTATTATAGAAGAAGAAGAAGTCCTCTCTAGAAAAGAATTAGACTGAAATTAGTAAAACCTTCCCTTTTTTTAATATCTAAAATCATTTAAAGGTATCAAGTCTCCTCTTTTTCCCAGTGCACAAAACCATCACACAATGGCAAAAACAACAAGCCATGAAAGAGTAAAAGAGATCGAGCGTTGCAAGCGCATTGAGGCCCAAAGGAACACATTCTTAAACACAGCAATTACCCAGCGAAATGAGTGCTTGTGGGCAGCAGCAGCAGCAGCAGCAGCAAGAGGGTGCAGGGCACAAGGCGCGGCAGGGCAGCCCGAGAAGATGCAGACAGTAAAAACGAGAAAATTCTGCTGGCTCTGTGGCCAGCCCCCTCTTCTATAGCCCATCCACCCTCTCAGCCAACTCAATCCAAACCCCACCCAAACCAACCTAACCAAGAACCCAAACAACCAAAGCCAAAGTCAAGGCATTAACAGCCCAGTGAACACACTCATACACTTAACCATGTGCAATTCAACACACGTACATCTTTATAGATATATATATATATATAGAAAAGATATATATATATATATATATATATATGGATCTAGCGAGTAGTGTAGTGTTGGTCTTTGGTCTATACCTTTGGTGGCCTAGGTCTGGGCCAACAACAATAACAATAACCAGCTCGTTTCCCATTGGGTTTTGCAATCAAGAACTTGAGATTCGCTTTTGGTTAGAGATTTCAATCTACTATCTGGTCTTTGGGGTTATAGGGGAATATATAATATATATATAAGTAAAAATCTATTACCTTAATAATTTTCTATAAAATTCTAAAGCAAAAGCTTAGACTTTGACTTATGCTTACTAGAACCATATAAAAATAGTTCTACTTTCTTCTCATTCGCAACATATTAAAGTTTCAAAGTGATAAAACACTAACTACCTAAAAAATAAATTCCTTTCTTAAATATATATTATAAAAAAGGATCCAAAATCTGGTTCTGGGTCTCAGCACTTGCAATTTGGCCACAGCGAGCGGCTTTTTGAGTGAGAGTGAAGTTGGCGCAGGAACAATGCAACAGCAACAACAGCAACAGCAACAACAAACGCAGGAAGGTGTTCTAAAGAAGGCTCCAACGATCAACAAAAACAACAAAAACAACAACAACAACAGAAAAAGAAGAAGAACCATAGGAAAAACCTCTGCTAACGCCAACATCACGACATTAACATTGCCGCTGCCTCAACGGCAAAGTCACAGTCAAAGCCAAAGTTACCAACAGGTTTTCAGAGACTGCCTCTTCAAGTCGCTCTCTCACGATACACATCGATAGACAGAAAGAAAAAAACTATACGATCAGCGAAATTTAAATTAAAATTAATTAATTCCTTTAAAAATTAACCATTAAAGTTAACTTTTAGATGAAAACCAAACCAGGTTGAGCAATCCAAGATTTTCTTAGCCATAATCTCTCAAAATTTTTAATATTTTTGATTTTGATTTGTTTTTTGATTTTGTTCAAAAATGAAAACCTTTTCCTCAAGTGCATCTCTCTCACCTGCGAGCCAGGCTTCGTTTTCAGTTTCGGCTATGAGTTCGTCTTCGTTTTTACCTTCGGCTCGTGAATCTTGCTCTCTCTCTCTGTCTCACCTTTTCGCTCTTTCGCCGCACACCAGCTCAAAGTTAGCTGTAAATTTGTTACGTCGCCGCAGAAGAGCGTAGTGTGCGTTTGTGTGGGTCACACAGGTGTGCTACGCTCTGAATTCGCCGTCGCTTACATCACTTGCTCTGAATCGGTGTTTGTATGCGTGTGTGTGTGTGTGACGAATAACGTTAGTTATCCGTTGGCAGCAGGCGCACCTGTGCAGGTTAGAATGAGATAGAGCTAGGCCTGCCGCTCTTTTTGCCTCGCTATCTATCTCTCTTTCACTCTCAATCTTATTTGCCATTCTAAGCGCATTCTAAGCGATCTTCAAGCGTTCTCTCTCACATATACAGTCGCGTCACTACAGCAGACAACACGCACGCGATCAGGGATTAGGGGAAAGAGAGAGCGAGAGAGAGAAAGAGAGAGAGCATGAAGCACACCTGAGAGCATGAAATGCCTGCGTTGCCAACTATTTTGCCGTTTAATTTCGCTTATATGGGTACTTTTTTTTCCCCCCACATTCTACTTGCCGCTGCTTGTTGCTTCTTCTTATTTGGCTCGTTATTTCTTCTTATTGTATTTACACCGCGGTTCTCTTTCCTTTGCTGTACACGACACATACACTAACACAGGGATAATAATGATGAAATTCTTAAAGGGCCATGGAAAAACAAACTATTGGAATCTTTGGATCTTTTCCTAACTCCTCCTTTACCCTTTTTTTTTCGTTTGATAATCTTTGCTTGGCATTTTTAGGCGAAAATCAAAAGACTTAGGACACGAACTTGGTAGAATATTAAAAGATTTTTGGAAAATATTTTGGGAACTATTTTCCTTACTTATTTCTTAAGAAAATTCGCTTAAAAAGTGAATAATAATTTAAAGTTATTATTAATCTTAAAACCGAAAAATAAGCAATTAATATTTTTATTTCTGAATAAATATTTCTGGAAAATTATAAATTAATATTTTTATAATTTATCATAAAATATTTATAAGTTTATCTAGTAAAAATTCACTTAAAATATTATCAATAAATTTTTAAAATTATTTCAATATATTGACTACTCTTATTCGATTTGAAAACCCCACAGAAGAACCCTTGAAATCTCTTCTTTTTTTTCCAAATCTTGAATTAATTTACCAATCAACTCAAACTCTAAGTACAATAAGTACAGCTCCTGGGAGCTCGAGTAAAAACCATCTCAACCGGCAAATAGCCAAGGCGAAAGAATCTTGATCATGATCGTGATCATCATTATGATCACTACCTTGACTCTGAGGAGAAACAGAGAAAGAGAGAGAGATACAGAGAGCCAGAAACTGCACGAGAAACGTTATGTGAGCGAAATGAGGCAAAGGCAGTGGGCAAAGGCAAAGGCAAAAAGGCAAAGGCAGCAACGCACACAAAACACTCTCACTCTCTCTCACACAGGTGCGCGCTCGCTTCGCCGTTTTATTTTTCTCACCTGGGTAGCAGCAGCGGCGGCGAATATCTCGTTATTTTCTGACTCATACGAAAGCGAAGTTTCGCCGCCGCTGCTCTCTCTCTCTCTCTCTTTCTCTCTCGACTTACGGTGTTTTCAATTCGCCGTCTAACTGAGTTTGTTGTAGCGGCGAGATCGATCGGTTGACTTTGGTTTGGCCTAACTGACTACCTCGAATACAGTAAGTGGCGAGCCGGCGTTGTGAATGCACGTGTTTTCGCTTCAACACACTCACCTGGGCGAAACCCAAAAAACAAAAAAAATAAAACACCAAAGCAAACTACACAAAACACACATCAAATATACAATATAAAACACTGTGTTGTGCATTCATTATACAAAAAATATATATCAAAATATATATAAATATATATATTCAAATCCATCAAAACAGAAACAAATTTTTTTCAAGTAATATTTTTTACAAGTGCGTCGAAAAAAAAAGAAGAAAAAAGAACCCAAAAAGTGTTTGAGAACCCAAACTAGAGAAAAATTTATCAACTTTTCTCAAAACTAAAAACTAATATTTTTTTGCAAAAAAAAAAAACCCAAGAAAAATTATTTTTCTAAAAATTTTATAAAACACAAAAAAATTCCACAAGACAATTTTTTTTCAAGTACATTTTTTTCCAAGTGTTTTTTAAGGAAAATAAACCCTACCCAAGACAGAACCCCCTAAAAAAAACTACAATCCTTGGCTTTCCAATTGACTCTTCTTTCGACTTTGAAGAATCGAAAAAAAGACAAAACTTAGAAAAGACATGAAGAGGGCCAAACAGAAGTTGGCCTGAGCTCGGCTCATGACAAAATCAAAACTAAAAATCAAACAATTTTTTTTTTAAAACTCAGTGGACGAGCGGCGAACAAACATACACACACACATTGGATTAGTGTTTTGTTTATTTCGGACCCACTGTTTACTGTCCCTCGTCCACCCAAAAAAGGAAAAAAATAAAAAATCACCACAAAAAAAATAATCTCCGCCTCCTTGAGAAGAATTCGTCGCGTGTAACCGGTCGCGTTTCGCGTTTCATTGATCGCTAATCGTTTATCGTTAATCGTCCAATTGCAAATCGCACAAATTGCAACTTGTTCCAACCCCGATTAATCCTCCTTCAACATGCCGAAGATTTTCTTGATCAAAAATCGCCTGCATCAGCAGCAACAGCGTTTGCTAGAATCGCAAAATTTGTTGCAACACAAAAATCAGGATGATGAGCGTCTGGTGCCACCACTCAGTCCCACTAGTGGTAGTGGCGGCAGCGGTACTTCGCCAACGCCCAGCGCCCAACCACCAGCACCACCACCAACACCACCGGAACCGCAAGGTCAGGGGCAACAGGTGCTCGGACAGGTGCCCGATTCAGATCAACAACCGTTGAGCCTCACGCGCAAGCGTTTCCACCATCGTCGTCACTATTTCGGACAATCGCGTCACAGTCTCGATCATCTCAATCAAAATCAAAATCAGAACCTTAATCAAATACAAAATCCTGCGGAATTGGAAGTCGAACGAGCTACGGGAAAAGTTGAAAATGGTAAGTTTATGAACTTAGAACTTAGAATTAGCAAAAGGATGAAAATTCGAGAATATTCTGAACTTTAGGAAGTTTCTTATAAAATCCTTTTTAAGACAGTTTGATTCAATCTTCAAAATCCAAATCCAACATAAATTCTAGCATTCCTTTGGCATTCTCTAAAAGCTAACAAACAAAAAGCCAAAGAAGCCAAGGCAAAGAATTTTAATTTACTCCGATAAATAATTGCTACAAATCTGTCAGTCTGTTAGATTCTTTGGCCGATGGCAAATATCGGCAAGCAATACAAACTGGCGATATCTATTGCTTGGAAATCTTTTCAAAATTTCAAGCTTCACTCTTTTGGGCAGCTTTTGTTATTTGTTTTTAGATACATTTTTTTTTTTTTTTGCTTTTTTTCGCCCACACCATGACGAACTCGTCCCCTAGAGTATCTTTGTATCTAAATCTGCCCTGTCTATCTTCCATTCTCCAAAGCGGAGCTATGGGTTTACTTCGACATCAATCACTTTCATTGAATTTCGTAAGCGTTTTTATTTTGATTTTTTTTTCTCTGTTTTTTTGGCCAAAAACTCCAACCAAAGTCTGTTCTGATCTTGGGCTCTGTTTTCAGTTTTCTTTCTATTTATTTTTTTTCTGTGCTGTCTTTCTGTTTCTGATTCTGTTATATAATCGCACCGTCAAGCATGCTTATTAAGTCATTTCGATTTTACGATTTAGGCGGTGGTCTGGTCTTAGGTTAAAGGTTTTAAATTTTCATAAATGATTAGGCGGCGAGACAGAACTTTCTTCGATTCTCGAATGGATTTATTAATTAAGTTCATTTCGATTTTTATTTTGAAAGTGAATTTCATTCTGCATTCTTTTAGCCTTATTTTTCGCTCAAGTCTTTTGTTTCTAAGCTTAACATTTTAAACTGCCCTTTGTCTGGGCCTTAATTATAACCATAACTATATATTTATTTTCAACCATAAGCTTCAGCTCAGCTCAGCTCGGCTCGGCTCGGCTTCATTTCAACAGAATAGTCTCTCACACGCAGCCTCATAATTTTGTGCCCCCTTACACAGGCCAGGCATTATATTTCATGGTTATAGCTTATATATATATCTCTACTATATATATTACCATGAAGCGCGTGGAGTGTTATATACATTTATTAAATTAAATAACACGTTGCGCGCTGCTTCGTTCTTAGTTCCTCCCGGTTTTATCACCGCCCAAGTCTCCCTTTGTCTTAGTAGTCTTCTAGGCTTCTCCATCTATCGCCCAATCCACTTAAAAATGTATTATGAACACTTCCGCTGTATAATTTTTTATGATTTCTGCGGATATTGTAATGGAAGAAGCTATTTGAAGGGAAATCGTTTCGCAACCTTATAAGGCTAAAGGAAAATTGCTAAGAATTTCTTTAGATATTATATACAATTTTATGTTCTAAGCAAGCTGCTGTTAGGGGAAGCTTTGAGCGTTAATAAGTTTCTTCATTAAATATTTATGGCAATTCTTAAAAGGGTTCTTATCTTACAATGTTGATTTTCTTGCTTTATAAACAAAGTTGGTCACTCTAAGGAAAGTAATTTGCTAACTAAGATTTCTAAAAATATTTTTGTTCTTTAAAGTTATCTTATAAACTCTTTGCCTTTTTTCATGCTGTTTCCCTACCCTTATAGTTATCCTATTCTGCTCTGATTTCCTAAACCCCGCTGGTCACACTGGCTTGTTCACTTTTTGTTCAATTACCGCTTACGGTTCGTGTTTTTCTTGCCTTTAGTGGGCTGTGTGCCCATGGCCAAGAACTTCACACACTTGAGCGCACACTCACACACACACACACACACTCTTACACTCTAGACCGCAACAAGAACGAAAGAAAAGAAGGAAAAAAAATTATATAACTAGCAAAGTACAAGGTACTAAAAGCCAGCTAACAACAAACAACAGCACCAGCAGCAGCAGCAAAATCTCCTCTCGACCAGGCAAAAGTACAAGTTTTGCCAGAAGAAGATGAAGAGCCGCCCCAGCCGAAGTCAAAACCAAACTCCAAAGAAGCGAAAAGAGTGTGGAGCAGAAAAAGAACTCTTTTCCTTTTTTTTTTGTTTGGTTTTTGCAGCCTAGACTTGCGCTAAAGTTCCAACTAAACACAATGACTAAGTTGATCATGATGATGATGATGATGATCATGATCATGAGAGCCAAGTTCAGTTGGAGAAGGTGGAAATGGATGGAGGAGTAGAAGGAGGATGAGGATGCGGACGTTGGGTGGGGTTGTGCATTGTAGGCACATCGTCTGCCATTTGGCCTAAGCAAAGTCAAGGCAACTGGCCATAATAAAACTTGTAGAACCAGTCGAAATGAAGACGGGGCGAAGAAACCCACCAGAAGAGCCAGAAAAAGGCAAAAGAATCGAGCTTGTGAAATGCTAAAGGGCCTTGGAGGATGAACATTGTTAAAAGGAAAAAAAAATCAGACGAGGCATAAAATCCAAGAAAGAGTTGCCCGAGAAAACCAAAACTGAACTGAACTTCATGCAATACTCGTCGTATATAAGTATTATATATGGTGAAGAATTCCTCCTAGTTCCTTTTTTTTTCTCTTTCTTGTACCCTCCCCTCCTACAGCTGGAAGTTATGATCATAACTTCCTGTTACATTTTTCTCTATCTTCGGCAAGCGATCTTTATGCCGCGAATTTCTCTTGGCCCCCGCTAGTAAAAGTCAATAAATAACCGAAAGGAAATTCATTGATCGACCGATCGAACGATAAAGAAATTTCCAAAAAAAAAGGCATTAAAATAACCAAAAAGAAATGGAGAGCGATCCATGCAAATTCTGCAGCTGTTAGAACTGCAAGTTGCAATTGCAAAAGCACCATGCATACAGCATTTACACGCAGATGTTGCAATCCTCGAGCGGAAGTTAGCGAAAGGTTCCCTTAAAAACCTCGCGACCGACCCTTCTCCAAAGATCCCAGACCAAAAGACCACAAGTTCACCGAACCCTCTCAGCAAACAACACTCACTGCGCGTCTTAAGAAAAATGGAAAAAAAAAAAAAAAACACTGACGACGACGAGTCAAAAGCAAAAGTCAAGTGGTAAATGAGGTAAAATGGTAAATGCAAAAAGAGAAAGACAACAGAAAACCCCAAAAACCCATTACCTCATAGTGCTAGTGCCCAGACGTTGAGATTTTCTTTGGAAATCAAATCAATTCTATTGTTTTCTTCGTTGATCCCCTCCCCGCCAGTCGTTTTACACTCTCAGATCTTCAACTAATTGGAGTTAAGATGGTCATCTCCATTTGATTGAACAAATGTAAATCAATGAGAAGCCTCTTACTCTGCATTGATTAATCAAGCCTTATATTTGGTATAACTTCCCCTTCTTAAAAGATATCATAAACTTAAAGATGCCAATCTACTAGATTTTGAAGTGAAACTGCGCTTGCAGAACTTACAAGGGTAAAAGATAGTTCCCTTTATCATTTCCTATAGGAATTCATTTACATTTTGGTTTCATCTTCTTACAAAATCAACACAACATCATCCGAATAAGAATCATATTGAAAATCTGATTTAATTACAACGTTTTATTTGCCTTTTTCAAGTTTTGGCAAGTCCTCGGCCTCCTCACTCATTAGGCATTCCATCGAAAGACTGAGACAGCGAACTTGATTTCTCCAATAGGCCACTGAAAATTCGTTATTTTTCGCTTTATTTTTCTCATCTCTTTCCTTCCTTTTTTTTTTTTTTTTTGGTTCCTTATAATTTTGTTTTTTTGGCATTAGTTTTACCTGCCGAAAGACTGATAAAACAATGCACTAGGGGTGTGTTTGTCTGTGTAGATCGAGGATCTACCTGTGCCAAGGGTTTTTTTTTTGTATTTTCCTTAATCTGGCAACCAAAAACGATATTTGACAATCGGAAAGTGGAAAGAGAGAGAAGAGAAAAGCGAAAAAAAAGGGCAACCTGAGAGAATCCTGCACACCTCGATAACATTCAAAGCCGAGATTTATTTTGTGCAGTGAATCAACAAGCAAGAATACACAGCACAAAGGAAACGGGCGAGCAGGCAGGGAAAGAAAGAGATGGAGACTGAAAAAAAAAACAGGTCTCAAGTGCTGCCAAGCGGAGAAGAAGAAGCAGCAGCAGCAACAGCAGAAGAAGAGAGCAAAAAGAACGTAGAATATACATTTGAAAAAAAAAAAGGAAGCGAGTTTTGTTGTTCGCCTTTGCTGGGTGTTTTTCTTTTCTTCTTTTGCCTTTTTTTTTTTTTGGTATGCAGTTGAAGAAGAAGAAGAAAATGTATAAGAAGGAGCGTTGTAGAAGAACAAAAGAACGAAGAAAGAACAGAAAGGCGCAGTGGAAAGATATATATATATATATATTCGTGATCATGAGCAATGATCAGCGCAATGATGATAATGATGATGGTGCGTGTATTTTCTTTGTCTTTGTCCCTGTCTCCCTCTATGTATCTATCTCCCTTTGTTCCCCCTTCTCGACACGAAAGTGCATTATTTTTCCATGAGCAGCAACTATTTCTAATTGAATTACCTTTTGATATGGATAGGCCAATGGGATAAGATCAATGCAAGTGGTTGAAAAGGAAAAGAGAGAAGAATCAGAAAGTAGCAATAGGAATATATAAGATTCTCAATAATATAAAATTATCTAAAAAATATATTCCAAACGTGCCAGAAATTGCTTTAAATTTAAAATATAATTTCCAAAAATACATACTCATTAAATATGAAAAATAAAATATTAAAATATAAAATATTTAAATATTTAAATTTTATACAAAATATATTTTCCAATAGCCCGCGCTTTGGCTTTACTTTTGCTTTTTAAAATCAAAATTTTTTATTCCATAAATAACTCGCTGGGCCAAAAACAAATAAATTGTCCAAATTATTCGGCAATTTCGTCTGGCTTGGCTTTTTGCTTGTTCATTTCTGATTTGATTTGATTCATCCTCTCTTCACCCTCTTCACCCTCTTCA